TTTTTTTTTTTTTGTTTTTTGTTTTTTGTAATTATTGTCATTGGTGTTGATATTATTTTCATTATTTATGTTGCTTATGTTTTTTTTTTTCAGGATCATTGGTAAAGTTTGATTATCACTACTATACAAATAGACAAACAAAGAAATATTAAAAAAAAAAGATGAATTTTGAGGAAAAACAGAAATGAAAATCAAATAAAAATCTTCAAGTGAGAAATAGGCAAACCGAAATATTTTTCCCTTCCTCGCGTAGAATCTGCGTCTTTAGAGATTTTCCTTGGCATGCAGTTGTCATCTCCAGAAAAGCGTTAACATGTACTCCCAGCGTGTCGTAAAGGCGATTAGCTGAGAGTGAAATGCGGCGTTAAGAACCTCAGAATAAATGAAAAATAACGTGTGAATTTTTAGTTTTGTTGATATAGTGGTTTCGTAGTTTTGTTTTTCGGTTTATTATCGTTTGTTTTGGTTTGTTATTAGGATTAGTGTTGTTGGTATGATTATTAGTGTTATCGTTATCGTTAGTGTTATTATGGGTAAACTGTCCTCGTCTCTATTCCTTCGTTTATCTTTTATCTTTTTCACTCTTTCCCTTACCATCCCGTCTATTATCTACTCCTTTCACTATTTCATTTTCATTCTTGTATTTCTCTACTGTATTTACTCGCCACTATTTCCATTCTCTATCTCTCTCTCTTTTTTTTTTTTTTTTTTTTTACTATTTCCACTATTTCCAAATTTCCAATCTTCAATTTCTCGACTCTATTCACAATCCCAATCTCCATGGCTTTTTTTTATTCACTAGTATTACATATTTTCGAAAATTACCAACCTCCCTTTAGCCAATGTCTCCAAGCAATATTTTAAGACTGAGGATAATAACCTTCGCTAATTTGACTTCTTCTGGGTCGTCAGTCTTGTCAGAAAGGTCAAAAGATGGATATTTAAAAGTGATATTTGAAGGCAGTGCTATTCTTATCTTCCTGTGTCTCCTTCAATTTACCCTTCGTTTGTGGTCCATTATTTTCTTCATCTTGTTTCAATGTCAAAACTCATGATTAATGTGTGTATATGTATATATATATGTGTATATATATATATATATATATATATATATATATATATATATATATATATGTATATATATATATGCATGTGTGTATGTGTGTATGTGTGTATGTGTGTGTGTGTGTGTGTGTGTGTGTGTGTGTGTGTGTGTGTGTGTGTGTGTATGCGTGTGTGTGTGTATGTGTGTGTGTGTGTGTGTGTGTGTGTGTGTGTGTGTGTGCGCGTGCGCGCGGGTGTGTGTGCATGTACATATATGCACTTACCGCCTTGTGAGAAGCGGGTACCCCTTTCCTCCTCCTACACCACCACCATCACTTCCTCCTCCCCCTTCTCCTCCTCCTCCTCCTTCTTCTTCTTTTTCTCCTCCTCCTCCTCCTCCTCCTCCTCCTCCTCCTCTTCCTCCTCCTCCTCCTCTTCCTCCTCCTCCTCCTCTTCCTCCTCCTCCTCCTCGTCCTCCTTCTCTTCCTCCTCCTCGTCCTCCTTCTCCTCCTCCTCCTCGTCTCTGTCCTTCCCTTCCGTAAAGATTTTCCTAATCGACTCCTCACTATAAGCGAAGAAGTCCACAGGATCCAATTCGTAGGTTTTATATCGAGCATATCGACACAAGATCGACGCCATGATAACGATGTTTCGGTGTGGTCACAGTTTCTTCTTTCACTTTTTTTTAACCATTCCTCTCTATTTTTACTATTTCTCTCTATATATATTTTTGTATATATATACATATATGTATATATATATACCTCGTATTAACAGCAAATCAAAAATAAAATAATCATGAATTATAAAAATGAGAATAAGGATAACTAAATGAAATCCTGATCATTTTCCCTCTCACTTCCTCTTTTACATCGCCTTGACAGCTAATGATAAAAACTAATGAGTAAAATATATGACCATTTTTTCCCCTCTCTTTCTCTCACTCCCTCTCTCTTTAACCTCGCTTTGACGGCTAGTGAGAAAAGTTTTGGAGTCATAGCGGTCTAAGTCAGAATGGAGGTGACAGCCAATGGTTATGACTATTGGAGGTTGGTGTTATTTAAAAGGATTGGGCAGCCTTAGGCGATTGGGACTTTGTACTTTAACTCGACGCTCGTAAATCTTGAAACAAAGGGAAAGGTAGATTTAAGAAAAGGTTTATGTCTTGATTTTGTACTGCAGGTAGTATCGAGGGATGTGTGATTCTTGTATAGTGTCTGAATAGTCCACACACACACATACACAAAAAGGGAAAAAAAATGTCGATTTATTCCATTGATTATCAACTAGGGCTTAGTGATTCACTTATCTCCTTATGATGAGAGAGAGAGAGAGAGAGAGAGAGAGAGAGAGAGAGAGAGAGAGAGAGAGAGAGAGAGAGAGAGAGAGAGAGAGAGAGATCAAAGAAGAAGAAGAAAAAAAAATAATGCTAACAATATGATGCGAGAAAGAAAGATAGCTCAAGAAAAGAAAACCGAGGAAACGAAAAAAACAAGAAAAATGCACACGAAAGACGTAGAGAGAGAGAGAAAAATATAACCCTCCCTTGTACTCTGGTCTCAGCCGCAATGCAGAGTCAGTTCGTTGGAGAGAATCTGACCAAGTAGAACGCTGGAGCCGCCTCTGAGAATTAGTTCGGAAACAACTTTGATGAACTGAATCGCTTGAGAGACAGACGCACCACTCTGCCTCTCTCTCTCTCTCTCTCTCTTTTTTATTTAAACCAACAGAGTCATTTAATTCACGAGTTTGAAATGCACCTCGTTTTAGTATTGGAATGGGCTAGAAATGATTAGTTAGGAAAGTCGCAATGTTTTGGTTTTCATTTGTATTAATGGTATGTGGTATACCTCAGAGACACGAAGTGAGATGCTGGAATCATAAGGAAGTGAATGAGAGTGTCTTAAAGATGAAAAACAAAAGTAACTGAACGATAATGGTCTATTCCAAAACATAAGGACCTTTTAGCACTTCAAAACACAACGTCAAAAATGAAACACACGCCGAAAATGACACATGACGCTAGAAATAACACACAACGTCGGATATGACACACACTACGCCAAAAGGGACAAAAAAAAG